AAGAAATGAAACACTGAAGGTAGAGTTGTGCATTCCTAATCTAGTCCATTCTCCACACCCCTCCCCCTGCCCCTAGCCTTGCTGCCCAGTTCCCTGTTATTCTATGGTTGATTTCCCCAAACCTCCCTCCTCCTCATTATAGAGGCCAAAGCTGACAGTGGTCTGGCCAGGAAGAAGAACGAGGGCTCTTCCCAACATAGAGGCAGGCAGTTTCACAAATATCACCCCCTTCACTGTGTTTCTAGGAGGGTACCACTGTACCTGTTCTATAATAAAGGAGACCAAGTGGGAGGATTTACCCAAGGTCTGGCTGCACAGAATTCAAATGCTGTTTGTTCCTGCAAAGTCAAAGCAAGGGGATTGCATGTCCACTCCAGTGTGGGAGGAACCGGTGGTCACTGGCATAAGTCCTAGGGTTTTCAAATGTTGACTCTCTGTGGTGTCCTATATAATTAGCTATTTTTCACTCATCATGAAACCAGAACCTCTTACAAAATATTTGTATAATGAAGAAAAGAAAAAAATCAAAGAAAACCTGGGGAAATGAGATGAGACTCGTCCCACTTCATCCCTTCAACCCTCTTGCATCTTTCTTAATTTGTATGTTCGTTCACAGTCAGGAGACCTGCAGTCTAGTTCTGGCCTGACCCCCTGTAAACATGTGACCGTGAACAAATCCTTCTTGTCTCCTCCCAAGGTCAGTGTTTTCACATCTGTAAAATAGGGATAATAATATCTCTGCTGCCTACTCCCCAGGGGGTTAGAGGGATCCCAGCAAACAATGTTAGGAGAAATGCTTAATGCATTCACCTCACCTCTCAATTCTCTGTATTGCTGGATCTGGGAGGTCGGGATGATGCGCGCTCCCCTCCCCAGCACCCATCTCCTTGACCTGATCTTCAGCAATCCCCATAATATCCACCTTTAGTGATCTCAAAGCTTCTCCACATTCCCCGAGATGGCTGATGATAATAGCTAAGATTAATTTTACTTGGTACATGTCAAACACTGGGTTGCGTATTTTATATTCTTTATCTTGAATAATTAAGATAATGATGATGGTATTTTTTCTTAATCAGTTTTATTTTGTGTGTTTTGTTTGTGTAAGTCACACCCTTAAATAGAAAATTAATGTGTTGATATTGGTCTTATACAAAGGAAAAATCAGATAAAACACTAGTTTAGAAAACAGAGCAAAAGAATAAAATAAGTGTGGAGTTAAATGGGGGGTGGGGAAGCACGTTCTTAAAAACAAGCTGGGAAATCATCCTTTTCACAGACTTTGAGGACACGTAGGCTTTAGTCTTTAATTTTATAATTAAAGAAATTGAGGCTCAGAGAGATGAAGTAACTTGCTCAAAACCATACAGCTTGTGAATGGTGTGAAATTAGAATTTGAGCAGAAGTATCACTGGATCCAAAGGCTGTTTTCCTTTTTCAGATACATACGTAATTGAAATTTTATTAATGTTTACAGTGGAAAGTTTCAGAACCTATGCATTAATAAAACATTAGCCCCTAAAACAATCTGAAGATTACAGAGAAATATTTGAGTCACTTTCAGTATGACAAAGAAAAACTTTCACTTGTTATCTAGGCACGGGAATTTATGGCAATGTCTGTCTTAAGAGTGTGCATATGAATTGGTCATTCACGGAATTGAAGAAAAATAATGAACTACAGAATAATGAATTGGAGTAAAGCTAGATGGCAATTTCCGTTTTGGTTAGCAGAGCAATGGTGGGTAATTACAAATTCTGCACATTACCTCTTAGAGAGATGGCATTCATTTGAAATATGAATTTATGGTACAATCTTAGCATATTTAAATTATGTTCAAATCCCATTTTCCGTCAGCTGCATTATACCACTGTTCTTCGAATCTCTGTCTGCTTCTAACCTCATAGACCATCCTTCTTCAGACAGGCTGATTAAAGTTTAGGATGGTGCATAAAAGTAAAAGTAACACCCAAGTATCATAAAGGAATTTAAAGGGAATATTTGGAGGGTTGCTGAGGTGGAACAGAGGCTCTTGTCTCCAGTAGGTGATGAGAGCTAGACTAGGAGAGGAGTATTGAAATCGTCAACACAATCACTCCTAAGAGACAGACTGATTTTGCGACATTCAGGGCACGACCCAATGTTAATGAACCCAGTCAGCACTTCTGAGTGCCTAATATATGCCTGCACTGGGGCTACAGGGATTAGGTGTGGTTCCTGCCCCTGATACATACGTGACAAGCCCAAGTTCATGAAATGCTTTTGTAAATGTTTGAAAATTTAAAAGATACAAGGGGATGAAGCTAATATGTGACATTTTGCAGACTTTGGCAGGAAATGGATGCAACAAATGTAAATCAGAGTGGGGGTTGTTCTTACGTAATGAACTCATTGTGGTGTTGGTGTGCCTGTTGGGAACACAAAGACTCTGTGTGTGTGTGTGTGTGTGTGTGTGTGTGTGTGTGTGTTGGTACGGCTCATCTTTGGTTCATGTATGGGAATCTATCCATCTTCCAAAGAAGATATTGAGAATGGGCTCCTTCTGTCCCCTTCCTTCTGACCTGTGACATGGATGGAAAGGCAAAAGCTCAAAGACAACAGCACACTAGACTGAGAAGAGCCAGTCATTTGGGGCTGCCCTTGCTTAATAAAATCATTGTACATATTCCTCAGCCCTGAGATCCCTTCCCCATCAGCTTTCCTCTTGCCAAAGTAGGGCCCTCTGGAATATCAGACAGGTGGCTCTGCCAGTTATAGAGGATTCTAGCTATCTAGGCAGTAGCCGGAAAAATAAGAAGGCAGGTAAGATTTAAAAAAAAAAAAAAAACTCATACACACAACCTAACATGTTTAGAGTCACAGTTTACAAAGCTTTAGCATCTATTGTCTCATCAATTGAGATTTTATTTTGCAAGATGACCTATGAAGTAGAGAGGTTATAATCCCGATTTTATAGAGGTGTGGATAGAAAAGAAGTTCAGAAAAGTTAGTGTTGTCATTCTGGAATGTTACTCTCCTGAGTACAATAGGGATGGCCTATCAGGGAAGGCTTCCTGGAGGTGACCCAAGAGCTGAGTAGAAGAAACACAATCTTGCACTAAATCCATAATTCTGATAGATGGTTTTACAAAGGTTTGAAAACACAAGGACTGGAGAAGCAGAGAGGAACACGATGAAGGTGAAGATGATGACCACAACAGCAGCTGACACCTGCCTTACTCACTGCAGATATTGTTAAAACAGATACTATTCTAAGTAGTTTATCGAACATTAATTCTCACACCTACCTTCTTAGGTAGGGACTTCTATTTTCCCCATTTTTATAGATGAAGAAACTAAAGTCCAGAGAAGTTAAGTTTCTTGCCTAAGGTACAATATGATTTTGTGTGCTAACTTAAAAAGTATGACTTTTATCCTAAGAGCAAGGACAACGCTCTGGCTCCTGACCCCCAGTCAATCTGTGCTTGAAGTGTTTTTAGCAAAGAGAAGATGGGCACAGAGCTGTGATTTTGGAAGCCTTCTCTGATTCCGAATGGACTAGAGGTTGGAAAAGGGAAAAGAAACTGACGATTGGTGGATGGACAGAACAGAGACAGTGGGCTTAGCAAACAGGGGAGTGTTGCAGCAATGCCTGGTTCTTTGGATAAAAAATTGCCCCTATGTGTCTCTGCTTTCTCTAGCTGTAAAGACAGAATGATGTATTTGCATCTACCTGCCTCAGGAATTGCTTGAAAATTAATGGGGCAGAGGCTGGGCTGGCTTTCATGTGTTAAACAACACCCTTGCACTACTGCTGGTGTTCATTAAATGCTGAACGTATAAAATGTGCTTTGATGGAGGAGCAGGGAATAATTATAGCTTGCTAATTATTGTTAATTTTACCACAGCTTTGAAACTTTGGACTTTCTCAATGATTCAAAAAAGAGATTGCAACCCCTCTGTCCCATTAAAGTAGCCACACAGTGGCAGACAAGCAAATTCCCACAGGTTCCATTCTCTCATTATTTGCCATGGTTCAGCAAGTTATATGGGACACAGAAGAAGATGTAATAATTTGCTCTCTTAGAACCAAATTGTACAAAGAATGTCTTACAGTCTTCCCAGTTCTTTTCAAGAATTTGTTCCCTTTTTCCTCCCAGTACTGAGTATATGTATAAATGCTGGGGGCTGGGGGGAGTGGAGTGTTTAGTGAGAGCCCTGATATGGTGCACAGGAGGACGCCTGAGAGTTACTCAGAACCGCTCCCCCAACCTTTCTGCAGATTCTGCAGCACTCCTTTCCATAAACATCCATTTAAAGGCCTCATAATAGCCAGGCAGAATACGAGAAGCAGAGACCCCGCCCGGACTCCTGAAGAAACTGATGGCCGGGGCACTTAAGACTTCAAAGTGGGCCTGTCAGACACTCCATAACTTTCAGGATTGAGATGCGGATGAGGTGTGAGAACTGAGGAAAGAGTCGAGGGAGCCACAGAACTTAAAGCAAGGGTAGGGACCGGGAAACAGAAAGCGAGGGAGGGAGGAGGGACAAAGCTGGGCAGCTCTGTGCCCGGCATTTCAATGAAATTCCTGCGCTTTCCAACCCCGCAGAGGGGCAGGACGCTCAGAGCTCGCGATCGGAAACAGCTACGAGGGCGGATCCCTCCCTAGGTGGGGCCGGGCGGGCCGGGGGCGGGACCCTCGCAGCCCGCAGGTGAGTATCGGTTCTCCTCTCGCGGCTTTCGGTCAGGGGGAGGCGGGAGTAGCCTCCGCTCCGCTGATCCTATCGCGCCGCGCAGGCCGGGCCTTCCGTGGGACGGGCACGGCGGGCGGGATGTGTCACCCAAATACCAGCGGGTGAGTCGGCGGCCGAACCAGTCGGGCAGGTCCAGCGGAGTATAAGAGCGGGAGGGAGAGGCCGGCGGCAGACGCCTGGAGACTGTCCCAGACGGCAGAGCCCGGCCCCGCCGAGCCCCCAGCGCTCAGCCCGCCCGCGCCTGGACCGCGCTTCTGCAGCCCACCATGGCCGGAGACCCCGGCCTCGCGCTGCCATCTCGACCGCTGCTGCCGGTGCTGCTGCTGGTGCTGGTGGCGGTGACCGGCCCCGCGGCCGCGCAGCACAACTGCACGTGTCCCACCAACAAGATGACCGTGTGCGAGCTGGACGGCCGCGGGCGCTGCCTCTGCCGGGCGCTCGGCTCCAACTTCGAGGTCAACTGCTCCACGCTGACTTCCAAGTGCCTGCTGCTCAAGGCGCGCGTGAGCGCCCCCAAGGCCGCGCGCGGGCTGGTGAGGCCGAGCGAGCACGCGATCGTGGACAACGATGGCCTGTACAACCCCGACTGCGACCACGACGGCCGCTTCAAGGCCCGCCAGTGCAACGGGACGTCTGTGTGCTGGTGCGTGAACTCGGTGGGCGTGCGCCGCACCGACAAGGGCGACCTGAACCTGCGCTGCGACGAGCTGGTGCGCACCCACCACATCCTCATCGACCTCCAACACCGCCCGGCCGCCCGCGCCTTCAACCACTCGGACCTGGACTCTGAGCTGCGGCGGCTCTTCCGCGAGCGCTACCGGCTGCACCCCAGATTCTTGGCGGCGGTGCATTACGAGGAGCCCACCATCCAGATCGAGCTGAGGCAGAACTCTTCGCAGAAGACCCCCGGAGACGTGGACATCGCCGACGCCGCCTACTATTTCGAGAGGGACGTCAAGGGCGAGTCGCTGTTCCAGGGCAGGGGAGGCTTGGACATGCGCGTGCGTGGCGAGCCCCTGAACGTGGAGCGGACGCTCATCTACTACCTGGACGAGAAGCCCCCTCAGTTCTCCATGAAGCGCCTCACCGCCGGCCTCATCGCTGTCATCGTGGTGGTGGTGGTGGCCCTGGCCGCCTGCATTGCGGTCCTGGTGATCACCAACCGGAGGCGGTCCGGGAAGTACAAGAAGGTGGAGATCAAGGAACTGGGGGAGTTGAGAAAGGAACCCAGTTTGTAGGTACCGGCGGGGCAGGGGGTGGGGACGGGTCCCGGATTTTTAGCATGGTTCCTGACCCAAGTGAGTTAGGCTTCTTGACTCCAGGCCCAAGGAGATATTTCTCCCCACCCCAAATTCCTGCCTCCCACCCCACCTCACCAAATGTAATAGGTCTTGGCCTCAAGGTCACCTCTGTCTGAATTCTGTCTTGAAGGAAGCATTTTCAAAATTCCTTCCCTTTCGGTCCAACAAGAGTCCTCAGTAGAAGAGTTAAGGAAGGTTTGGCAGAGGGTTAAGAAACCGGTGCCTGTGTGACCCTCCAGCGTGGTTGGCAAGAGAGCATTCGATTTTGAAGGCTTAAAATGAGTTTAGATGGGAAACAGCGTTTTTACTGTCTTGGGCTTTAAGTTATTTGATGGGCTCCACTGGTTCCTTGGCCTTCCTGAGAAGAGGCGTTTGCTAATTGCCCGCCTAGTATCATCTTTACCACCTTCTCTATCACCAACCGCAAAATGCTGATCGCGGGCACAGAAGCCTGTTTCAGCTGCCTGAACACGTTTTCCATGTCTGTGAGGGCAGACCCTGCCTCGGAAACGGCGTCTACTCTTCAGCTTTCCCTTAATACAGCTGATATTAGTTACTGTTTCTTTTGTAAAATGTTTGTACATATGTTGTCTTTGATAATGCTGCTGTGATTTTTTTTTAAAAAACACAAATTTAATAAAATGTGGAAAAGGCACAGATGGAAAGGTGGAGTTTGTGAAAACTTCCTCCAGATTTGTATCACTTTGGTCTTCTCTAATTTCTCATGCTTGAATTTCTTGTTTTAAATGCTAACTTTGTCTTTGCAGGAGCAGGCATTCCATATGGCCTCTGGTCTTTCCTGAGAAACATTGACAGGATGGTTTGAATTCTGGCCTTTCTAAATAAGAGGATTTGGAAACCTCCCTCAAGATACAAGAGGGGGGTCTGAGGGCAGAGACTAGAACTAGCCTCAGGCTCAAAAGTCCCAGTAGAAAAGGTAACCCCTTCCATTTTTAGGTGCAGTTACTTCCTGTGTATGCCCACTCTCCTGCTAGGTGCTACTTCTCATGGAGACTTTGGCTGTTCACTTACTGCCAAAGTATTGTGGCTCTGGGAGAGATGAAATGCCTTGCCCACATAGCACAGCCAGGCTGCAGGGTCCTGCACACCTGCACATAGGTTGTTCTCAGATTTGACTAGTGAAATGCTTTTAAAACTCTTACTTCCTATTAGCTGTAAAAATTAGCAATTTGTCTCCTTCAGTCTTATCTCCTTGTTTTTACCCTTTGGACTATGTGAAGCAGAGTGTGCTAGAAGGTCATTGGGGGGTAACTAGAGTTACTGCAATTACTGGAAAATTGCTGGCACAAAGGGCTTGTAGGAAGGAGGAAGTGGTTGCTATTTTCCACTGCAAATAGCTAAAGCCAGGACTTGACTTTCTTTCCCTGGAATCCATCTCATCTTTCTCTTCCCACCCCTACTCAGATCTATACCTTACTCCTCAAGATTGAAACACCAGGTGAGAATGGGGGATCAGGAGATGTAACTCTTCCAGCCTGGGCTGTGGCAGGTGGAGTTGCTACTTTATAACTGCCTGAGAGCTCAGATTCTGTAACCACTATGGTAGACAGTCCCTTCAGGCCCCAAGCATCCTCTAGCCAGGCTGAACTAGGGGAGAATGGCTGAACTAGGGATGTGGGCTGACTTCCCCACAGGAGGATGGCCCAAGTGCCTGGGCTTAGAATGGGAATGCTAAAAATGACAGTGCTCCATTCCCTCAGTGGTTTCCATCCCTAAGTCACTGAACTATCTGTGCTAAAGGAACTTTGGTAATCACCTCTAATCTAACCCCTCATTTGACAGATGAAAGGGTGAGTGACTTCTCAAGATTAATGTTTCTGTGGCACAACTGGAACTAGAAAGTCTTGATTCCTAGTCCAATATTCTTTTCACTACATGAGGCTGCCACTGTTTCAAGAGCCTCTTTGAAAAACTCTCCCTTAACTGACTAGAAAATAAATTAAGGATTGAGTGGGTGGCTGGGCAAAGGAAAAAGCCCATCCCTTCATCAGAATGTCACTTCTGGATAATTTCTAATTATTCTAATTCAAGACTATGTGTCATTGCCCTTTATTGACTTATAAATCACAAAGTACTTTCACACATATCACCTTCCTTGAGATTGGAAGTAACCCAGGGGCTGGCCAACCTGAGTTCAAATTTTGCTCCATTGGAAGAAGCAGAATGAAACTTACAAATCCCTCTTGCACTATTAGAGTGAGGTAGTTGATAAGAGTTCCTTATATCTTAAATTTTCTCCTCTCATTGATTTTATTTATTTCATGTCAGAAAACTGAAGTCCAAAGAGATTGAGCGTCACACATCCTCCTTCAGCCAAAGTTGAAGACCTTTGCCTTTGGCTTCCTAGTCTGGGTTGTGATCAAGACTCCTTCTTAATTCATGTCTTTCAAGGAAGAGCCCCTCTTGCGTCTGTTTGAAACTTAGCTTGCCTCTTCTGAGAACAGGCCTCCAGAACCAGTTAATACAGGATTTCCCCTACCTTCCATTCACTGCATTGCGTGCAGACCTGGGTTTGCCCTTGGAAGGAATGTGGAGAGCAGGTGTGGCTCACCCGGCAGGTACAGGCTTGTCTTCTGAGCCTCCTGGGAAGAAAGGCTCATCTGATTTCCTCATTTCAGTTACCAGGCCTCTCTCCACTCTTGCTGTGCCCTTAATTGGAGCAATTTTTAGAATCAGATACTTTCCTCCTGCTTACTTAATTTTGGCTTCACTATTTTCAAAATAAAAATCATAGTATGGCAGAACTGGAAAGAGGACCGTTCCAGTTACTACAATGATTCCATTCTACAGATGAAGAAACTGAGGCCCAGAGATGAGAATGGATTTATCCAAGTCAGGCAGCCCTGTGGCAGAGCTACCCAACATTCGGAGTTTTGATCATGTCTAGTGTTTGTTTCATTTGTCTCCCTTGTAGACTCCCTAGTTTTTACTTCTTGACTGATCACTTCTAATTGGTATGGTTATCCTTTCGCTTTTTAATATCACTTAAATAGGAGAGGTACTTTGGTTAAGTATAAAGTAGATGGACTTTGAGGTTACCTGGCCTTTCAGACTCTGTTTTCTTATTAGAAAATAGGTAGAAATATGCTTGGCTTAAAATATTAGACATAAGATATGAAAAGATCAAGTATGTATTTAGTAAAAGGTCATTCTTGCTAGAATGACAGCCAGGACATGAAGAACCTGGGGCAAAAAATAACTTGTAATTTTTGATCTCTGTCCAGTGTAATGTGGTATAACTCTGTCCAATGTAACCAGTGTAACTTCCTCTCTACTTTTTTAAGAGGACCACTTCATCCCTGGACTTCTGTCTGAGAGACTAGAGCAATCTCAGAAATCACCTGTTACAAAGACCCACTGGTTTCTAAATACGGACTCACTGTGGAGTACTCACCCTCAACTACGATGAGAGAAAGAAATGTGTTTGTTTTCCAGTTTTAATATATTGGATCTCTTTAATCATCTTTTATTTTAGTATAATCTCTTACCCCAACTAGGATGCGTGGCTAGAGTATTATTCTTGTAGCAGAATAATACTGAGAAGTTATGTTACCTCTGTCTGTGATTTGCCTCTGATCACACATCTGATGAGTGTCACATCTGGGATTAAAACCCAGGCTTCTTGGGGCCTCCCTGGTGGGGCAAGGGGTTAAGTCTCAGTGGTATCAAGCTATATAGCTAGCCACTGCAGCATAAGTTTGATTCCCGGCCAGGGAGCTCACCCACATGGCACAGCAGACCTCTCCTGTCTTTCCTGCTGCTCCCCTCAGCAGTGTATTTTAGTAGATTTGCCTGTTCTGCTCCCCACTCTGTCTCTGGTGAATCCTCTCATTCCCGGGCCAGCTGGGCAGATCAACGTGGTACCCCGGGGGAGGAAGCAGGGGCTAGGTAGGACAGGGGTATGCAAGGAGTGGAGACAAAGCCAGGATCATTGCTAGTCACATTTATTCAGGAATGTGTACAGTGTTATATAGGTTCAGAAGAGGAGGTCTCTCGTTATCTCAAACAAGGAGAGACCACCAATACAAACTAGCCACAACAAGCAAGCAGGGGGCAGGGTTTAGTCATTACAATAGGAAACTTGAAACTTTACTTGGGTTAATATTCAGTATCTGCTTCAGGCAAGAACCTGGATGTTCAGGTCTGAGCCCCTACACACTTCTGGCCTGCACCCCAGTTCTTTTTTTTTTAAGATTTTATTTATTTATGCATACAAGAACTGGGGTAAAGGCCAGAGGTGTGGCGGGGGTGAGAGGATTCACCAGAGACAGAATAAGGGACAGAACAGGCAGACTGACTGAAGTACACTGCTGAGGGGAGCAGCAGTCAAATCAGGAGAGGTCTGCTGCACCATGGGGGTAGCTCCCTGGCTGGGGATCAAACTTGTGCTGCAGTGGCTGCAGATTGCTTCATAGGTTGTGTCTCAACCCCTTGCACCATCCTGCACCCCAGTTCTTGTATGCATAAATACAAATAAATCTTAAAAAAAATCGAGGTTTCTTGGCCTGCTAATCTATGTTTTTTTTTTTTTAAGATTTATTTATTTATGCATGCAAGAGCTGGGGTATAGGCCAGAGATGTGGGGGGTGTGAGGATTCACTAGAGACAGAGTGGGGAACAGAACAGGCAGACTGATCAAAACACACTGCTGAAGGGAGCAGCGGGTGAGTCAGGAGATGTCTGCTGTGCCATGTGGGTTGCTCCCTGGCTGGCTAGGGATCGAACTCATGCTGCAGAGGCTGCAGATTGCTTCATAGTGCGGTGCTTAACCCCTTGCGCCACCAGGGAGGCCCTAATCTATGTTCTTAACCCATAAGCCTAGCTACCTCTCATATTTTGTAAATTTGCAAACCAGGAAAAATTTTCTGTTGCAACAAATGACCACAAATTTAGTGACTCAAACAATCCACATTTATCACTGGACAGTTCTCTCAGTCAGGAATCTGACCCAGGTCTCACTGAGCTAAAATCAAGATGCCTGGAAGACTGAGTTGTTTCTGGGAGTGCTTGAGGAAGATGTGTTTTGGGGGGCTTCAGATTCTTAGCAGAATCCAGTTCCTTTTTAGCTATCAGACCAATGTCTCCACTTTCTTACTGGCTGCATACTGAGGACTTTTCCCAGTTTGTACAGATTCCCACATTCCTTAGCTCATAGTCTCCTATTTTCATCTCCAAAGGCAGCAACTGTTCTTCAAGCTCGCATTGCATATCTTTGATCCCCCTTTCGTTATCCAAACTATCTAACCACAGCTGAAAAAAGTTTCCCCACTGGTGCTGATTCATGTGATTAGGTTGAGTCTACCCACATAATCCAGGAAAGGATTATTTTATCTCAAGGTTTCTAACCTTAGTCATAGCTATAAAGTTCCTCTTATCCTGTTAGATAACACAGTCTCAAATTCTGGGGTTCATGATGAGCATATTTGGGAGGGGGTGACTTGATTCTGTCTCAGAATATGACCTCCTCCCCAAATCCATGCTTTAAACCAATATACTATGTTATGCCTCTAGAATTGTAAACCAGAGTGCATTTTCTTATTTAGTTTCAAAAGAGCTCTTTCCCCATGGCCCTCTCTTCTATCGCTTTTTGAAAATCATCTTTCCAAAATGAACTCTTGGGAGAATTAT